CAGGACTTCACAGCTTTGTGTTTTCTCCCAGTACAGACGTCACACTCCACATCTCCAGGTCCAGCATAATGGTCAGCAGGAGTAGCTGCTTGTAGTCCAGTCTTCTTCAGTTTCTCCACCACTTCAGCCAGTATGGTGTTTCTGTTCAGAACAGGTCTGGGTATGAAGGTCTGTCTGCACTGGGGGCAGCTGTAAACTGCAAGATGGTCCTCCTGATCCCAGCAGCTCTTAATGCAGCTCATACAGTAACTGTGTCCACAGCCTATAGTCACTGGATCCTTCAGTTGATCCAGACAGATTTGACATCTGAACTGGTTCGGATCCAGTGCTGAACTGGGTTCTGCCATTTTACAACAATCCCCGATAGAATTTAGTTTCGTTTTCTCTCACAGTCATCTATGTGTGGGAATTGGGAGGAACTTCCTGCTTCTCAGGCTGCAGTAGGTGTGGTTTTGGACTGAGGCCAGACTGAGAAGAGCAGACTGAGCAAACACTGGATTTCAAATTTAAGAGTAAAATATTACATTGTACAAAATGTACACACAACAGACATTTATTTAGCTTTTATGCGTATAACTGTTACTGATTTCCCACAGACAAGCTATAATCTTAGGATTTGATTGTTTTAGGTTGAAATTAGATAGAAAGGAATAAGAGAGCAGTTCTATTGAGAATGAATTTCTGTGTCTGTTTAGAAGATTCTTTGCTTTTTTTTCTCCAGATGAAGCAGATTTACTGGAAGAAAAGTAATTTGATTTGGATTTGAAACTATCATGTAGTATCAGATATAACATGCAGGTATGTGCAATTATAGGTTAAGACATCAGTTTCATTAAACACTGCTACGGTAAAATTTCACATTTAAGCCAAAAGTCAATGGACCACTTCAGCCAACCCGAGGAACTTCAAGCCTGGAGGCAAGAAGTGAGAGCAGCTAGTCTGAAGTCCTGAAGGAGCTGGAGCCCTTTCTTTGGAACAGTGTGGATCCGTCCTCCATTACTGCTTATCCTGTACAGGGGGTGGGAGTCTGGAGCCTGTCCCAGGTGGCACAGGGCGGGAGGGCATGATGGATAGGATACTAGTTTATAGCAGAGCACACACTCACACACACAATCACACACTAAGGACAGGGGACACGATGGATAGGATACTAGTTTATATCAGAGCACACACTCACACACACAGTCACACACTAAGGACAGGGGACACGATGGATAGGATACTAGTTTATATCAGAGCACACACTCACACACACAGTCACACACT